TGTGATGCACCGTTTTTTATTAGCGATCATCTTCAGAATCAGAATTCGGGTTATGTTTAAACCATCATTGTTGGGTTTTATTAACTTTTTAAACTTTTTTCCATCTATTATTTTTACGTTTACAATGCAAAGTTATTCTTTCCTCAATTTTCAGACATCCAGTATATTATTAGATTTTCGAATAGTAGTACGGGTCTCTGACTTCTTGAAAGTAAGGTCCTTAAATAAAAAAAAAAGAAAAATATTCATATTCTTAATAATATAGTCTTTAAAAAATATATAGCAACCTGCCTGTTGAAAGACAAATACAAAATTGATGAAATTATTAATTTTGACCTTTTTCACATAATAATCGCAGTCGCTTTAAAAACAATAGTAGTTCTCTGTTGTGGTAATATTACTGATTTTTTGGCAGATATCGGTTTATTATAATATTTTAAGCGTATTTTTTCGGACTTCACTATTTTCTATTTATTTTATTAAGTTGAAATTTTGTTGAGTCTAATTTGTATAATGTATACGAAGAAGGAAAACGTTGACCTATTAGAATGTTACAACGCCAATAACAAAACTCCGGGCCTTGGTTTCAGACAATATAGAACCAAATTTTCCCATAGGTGATTGTCAGGATAAGAAACATTTGCCAAAATATACCAACAGTTTCGAACAAATGGCAGTGTTTTAGTGCAAAAAAGTGGAAGCCAAACGTGATTGAATGAAAATATGCGTCTAGATATTCTTCTGCATTTCGAAAATACTCCAGAGACATGTAGCAGATTTTAACTTAACTAACTTAACTTAACTTAAGACTCAAATTTTGCAATATAATGATGGATAGACATTTTTTAGATAACATATTTCAAAATATAATTGGGAACATGAATCAAGATTTGCAACGTCTGCGGTGTTATTTAATAGAAAAAATACGCATTATTGGAGTTCAGAAAATAAAAAAAAAGTGTTTTTGAAGTAAATAAGCAGGGACGAAGGTCCGTGAAAGTATGATCGCAATCTGGAGCTATAGAATTTCAGGACTCATGTTTTACCAACAACATCCGTATGATATTTAAGGAATTTAAGGAACGAAATTCGGCCATTATGGAAAATAATTGCCAATTATGCCAAAACGGTATGTCAGAAAATTGAATTCTGAAGATGATCGCTAATAAGTTCGAAACGGTGCATCACAGACCCATACCTACTCATATAAATCGTTGAATTTGTCTTTGAAAGGAATATCCAAAAATGCAATGAAATGTAACTTTGTTTTACCACCCTGTATATAAAAAAGTGTAAATTAGGAAAATAAAAAACCCCCGTAGGTTTCAAGATAAGCTGGCCCCTCTTAAACGGGACCCTCTGTACAGTTTACGTAATGGTAGGAAAATTAATGACTATGACAGCTTTTGTTTTTATTAATGCCTGCAATATTTTTATCCTAAATGCCCTTCTTAAATTCATTTCTCATGTCAGTAAGCCAATATAGACACGGTATAAAGATTTTTTTAATGAAAACTGACGTTTTTTTATCAAGTATTGGGCAATAAGTTCTTAAGATTTATGTCTTCAAGAAATAAAATGTCTAAAGTTATTTAAGTTAGTAATATTCCTGGCGTTATCAAGAATAAAAATTTGAAATTGACATTGGTTTTTAATGAGTTTTACTCGAAAATCTCTTTATATGTATATTATCGTATGAAATCTTTTTTAATATTGATACAAACACTCAACAAGATAAGACTGAGTATATATCATATAACTTTAGGAAGTCTATTGGTGAGACGTTTAAGATATGCAATAGCTATGCACGTAAGTAATACGGAGAGATAACAAAGCATTATTTGTTAATCTTTAAGTGAAACTGTTTTAACATTTGTTTTTATTATATCTGGTCTTTAAGCTCGAAAACTTCACATTCGCGCTTGTACCAGCTGCCACTTTCTTCTTGAAGGAAATAATTTCATTATATTGAAATTATTCTGACATCTAGAAAGTTAATACTTAAACGGGTGTTGATGAATAATACAATTCATTTGTACATCGACCAGATAAGTTGACAACTGTTATTTTCTGAAATACCTTAATTAAATTTGATAGGTACTTATTTGACAAGCTTTATAGAAAGAGCTGGACAATGCTCTTGTTTTTGTCTTTTCTACTTTTAAAATAGGACGAAAAGCTCGATCCGTTTTCCGTTCCGACAATATTTCTGTCGTGTCCACGGTCAAGTTTTGGGAAACCATCTACTCGCCTTGCTAAAAAAAAATAGTTAAGAAAGATCTTCGATAAATAAAGCTATCGGGATTAGATTCCTGCAGGACGCTGATATATAAAATGGTTTCTTCATTAACTGAGTATTGAAAACTTATAGAGGCTTCGGACGTATAATCGATAGATAAATTGACAATTTGATTTATAGTTCGTACTAGAGGATAATAGAAAATAATAGTCGGTGCTTATTAAAATCGATTTAATATCAGACCATCGGTCTCTATATGAATAGGGTGTGTAGAAATAAACTGAATTTGTACAATTGCGGTTAACAGAAAGAAAAATGAAAATAATGTAAAGTAAAGTGACTGTTTCGAACAATAATTAAAGAACAAGAAGTGATGGTCTGCATTTTTCCCAAATAGTTTGACCACGGGTGGTTAATACGAAAGATCACCGAAACCTACTTGGATAGGATTTTTCAATAACATAATATCGCGTGCGATCTTCATATATATCCATATATTCATTTGGGACTCGTGTTTCTTTTAGCCAATTCCTATAGAGCTAATTTAATGCTTTCTTGGTATGTCCACCCGATTTTTTTCTTATTGTAGTAAGATAAGATATTATAGTTTCAATAATATCATTAACAATAATAAATTAATATTGTTTTATGCATATATGGAAGATAATATGCAACTTACAAACGAAATCAAGTCAATAAAATGGAAAACATTGTATCTACTAGCTTTTTAGAATTTCTTAGATATGCTTAATTTCATATTTCGTTTCAATTTTCTTGTTTTCATTTGAAGTCTTATTACGATAAGCTAATTTAAAGGTATTTGTATTTTTTTTCTGTTTTTTCTTACAATCTAATTTCGCTTCGAAATTCTTATTAAAATTTTCAATAAAAGTGTTCTCTAGGCTTATAAGAGCCAAATTGTCAATTTTTAAAAAATTAATGCTCTTTATAGCTTAAATATAAAAGATTTGGCGAGGACATTATTTCGGGATCAAATGTACGCATTTTCTTTATATCTAGTTGTAACAGATCTGACTCTTCTTATTCCAGTTTGGGTATGTGAGTGGCAGTGGGATCTCCTCAGTTTACCAGTTAACATTGTGTTAATTTTCGACTGTTTGCGTCCAAAATGGTGCATGCGCAGGGAAAAATAAAATTTGTAATTTCTTTCTCGAGTTCGATTCAATGATAAATAGATCTCTCCTAGCCGCATATTTCAGCTACCAAAAAAAGGTAATTTGTCACTAAATAACCAAAAACATTGTTCGACAATATTTGAGGTGTGCATTAGTTAAATAAAATAATACTTGTAAACACTACTTGGAATCAGTCCAATCGTTTTGAACAATATCCCTTCTATTTTAAAATTTGGCTACTTTGCGTGATTCTGTGATGGAGCATTGCACGCGGCGGTTTAACCTGCATTCGCTCCCGACAGAATCCCTTGTGTTCGTCCCCAAAAGTTTGATATCAGTTTGCACTGTCTGGATTTAGTGTTTTTAGCGTTCAGTGTATGTTTTAAAGTTATAATTGTCGTCGGCCTCGTCGTTTTTCCCTGTTCACGCCGGTATGGAGGCCGGATGGGCACGGATGGTCCTCGGCGGTAGCGGGGGTAGACCCGGTTTTCTTTGATATCGATCAAAGAACAAATGTTGGTTATTTTTTTACGTGTTGGTCTATGATCAAAAGAAAAAATTCTTCCACGGAAGTCGGTAATGGGCGAATGACCTTTAAAGAAAAGCAAAGAGAGAGATCTACTTTGCGTATACTTTCTTTTAAAAAATATTATTTAGAGTAAAGATTTATTAGTTATTAGTTTTGTATGAAATAATTGTAAATTTATCGATTTAACGACAAAATTACAGTTACAAGCTGCACATGATTATCCTGTCTACCTAGGTTGAAATACAAAACAAAATCTTACGTTTTAACTGTCGTATTGGAGGCTTTTTATAATAAAAGAGAACTTCACTATAAGTATTTTATTTAACTGTGTCATGAGGTTCAGACATAAGCGCGCGAGTTACCTGGATGAGAGTCCCACATTCTAACCTCTCAAGACCATAGAATAGGAACACCACAGACCACCGAACACAAGCCTGATGCATCCCTAACGATCTAACTCTTCTTCCTTAGTTATTGCATTATAGTAATATGTCCCATTGCTTGTTTGATTTCGAAAAGATTATTATTGCAACTATTAAGCGGATACCGTTTTAACTAAAAAAATAATAATAAAAAACTTTAACTATAAAGCCCGGTGGACACGATACATTTTCTCCAAGTATTTTTATCAGATAAAAGTTGCTGTTAAAAATGCATGTATTTTTCACAGGCCATTTTTTGATTGTAGACAAGGACCAATTTTTTTAGCTAAATAGGCCCAATTATTTTGATGCAAATTTGTTTATTAAATTTTGATACAATAAATGATACTTTTTAGAGTTTGTTTGTGTCAAGTCAAACGACTAACTTGTGGGTATATGAGGAAAATCTATATTCCCAATAATATTAATACTCTGTGTATTCTTAAAAAAAAATTCTTCAATTTAGAGCTAATTTTGAACAAATCGTTTTTGACTTGTTTTAAAATTGTCAATTCGCTATTTTTATAATCATATATTTTGAAGTCGAAACTTTTATCTGCAATTACTAGACTTGGAGATTATAGGAGATTCTACAGTTTTCATAGAGCTTAAACCTATAAGTTGAAAACAAACGCTTGGCGCCGATTTACACTCACTAATTCGGGAAAAAATAGCTACCGGGCTTTATTGGAACGAATACACAATTTCGTTTCAATAGGTGTCGGTAATGGGCGAATGGTCCAAACACTTTGACCGTAGCGGGTTAAGAACGCAAGAGAAATAGAACATTTTATACCAAAGGAAAACAAGCAAGATGTGGGAAAACGTTTTTTAAAGAAACAAATAAATAATGGCTTTAACAACAAAGCAATGTGAGGTGTTGTTAGAGTAAGTTTGTTAGAAGTGAATTAACTGTGTTCTGACCCTATCCCCCAGCATTTTAGATAAAAGTCATGTGAGAACCAATACTTTGGAAGCACTAATTGACGATATTCACAAAAAGTTTGATAGTTCGGATTATTTTAAAGGTAATATATACATCTACAATGCTGAAATTCCCTAAATAATAGAAACATACGTCTTTAGTCGGATTGTGCATTGTTATGCTATTGCAAAATGACTTTTTGTTGGAAACCGATCAACGCTTGGCTGCAATAACCATTCTTTATGAACTTTTCAAAGGTGAACAACTTGGAAACACTCCATTTGGGAATGTGTTTATGCAACTTTTGGTATGCTAATGAAATGTCTATGCTTTGTTTTGCTGAGTAAAATCTAAAGTATTGACAACTAATTTATTTCAGCATCCTCCAGAACAGCATAGTATTGTTGGGGCACCAAAGCTTGAGTACCCAGGTCAGTTACCAAAATTGACTCAAGCTGAAAGACATTTCATCACACAGTTAATATCAGATACTTCCAAGGATGCAGTGAGTAAATGCAGCATATATTTTTATCTGCCTTTTTTAATGTAATTTATCACCTTACTTTTTTGAAAACACTTAATACTCTGCATTGAACACGGCCTTCCTGAAATTCTCCAGAAATGTTTAATGTTGAAAAATAACTTTAAAACTTTTATTTATTATTTTTACTTTTTTATTTATTTTACTTTTACTTATTATGAGTGCTTGTCATTTTTGCTCAATGAAACTGGCAGTTTGTAATTAAGTACTATTATTGGTGCAAATTTTTCAAAGACGAGTCACATTACCCAATTCTAACTTATTACCAATATTATAACCGCGTCATGTCCTCTATTAGTGTTAAATTGCCATCGGATGACAAACAAGCATTTGTTTTAAAACAAGTTTCATTCTATTTTATGGATTAGGAATCTTAATTTTCAATATCTTTAAATGGATTTGGCTACGTTGTACATAAGAAATGATTTCTTTTATCTTCCAGCTGCTGAAGAAAACAGCGTTACAAGTGGTTAGTTTAGAGGCGCCCCCAATCGCTAATGCTGATTTTAGCTCAGTGAAACTTACAATTGCTGAAAAGCAGTCTGAGTTGCCAGATACTGCTAAGACTGGTGTTCCAGTTATTTTATCACTGCCAAACAAAACTGCAAACAAGTGAGAAAACAAATTTTTTTTATAATTCTTTAAACAAGATAGTGTATATAATGAGACTTATATATAAGTTTTCTTATTCTAGATTTTAAACGAAGCGGGGTCGGGATTATCCAACTTTCTATTTTGTAATTCTACTTCATGAACATAAATATTAATAATGTTAAACATGTTTATAATAATTTATAATTTATAATAATTACATATTGTCATTAAAAAAAAAATTAGTTGAAACTGGCATTAACAGTCATATTTTCGAAAAAATGCAATAAAATTGATAATACCTATTTGGATAATCTCAAGAATAATCTAACCCTATAACTATGACAATTTATTGAAGTATTGCTCTACTAACCAGACTTCTTTGTTACTTCTTTTCTGACGGCAGCCTAATCATCCATAATTATTTTAGTTCTTCCCCACTTCCTCACCACTGTGGTTTGAGGTAAAAATCGAAGCAAATTAATTTATTATTGTTCATTGACATAATATTTTTGGAAATAAATCCTGAACTTATATTTATATTTAACAGTATAAAAAATTTACTTTTATTGTCAGTATACTTTGCCTAAGGTAGGTACATAAATTTTAATGCAAATTTAGCCATTTAGAAAAATCAGACATTTTTGTAAAAGTTGCCTCATTTTTTCAATTTTTATTTTTCCATATTTTTGAAATTTCCTTTCCCACTTGCCCCCACAAAAAAGTCCTTCTAGAAGTTATAAAGTTTATGAAATATTGTCCATATTTAGTAGCTATTATTTATTTGTAGCTATACTGAAGACTCAGAAACTTTAGCAGATGTTGTAAAACAGTTGGCAACTGGTGAAAATGCTCCAATAAATAAAGTTTATAAACCAGAATTTGTCACTTTGGCTCCCCCACTACATAATTGCCAAGATGAGGTAAAAAATTGGAAAAAAGCAATATTTTGTGTTTGTAAATTGTTAGTTTTTCTGCCAATAGCTTGATTGTAATATTATGAAGTTCTTATGCCAATCTCTATCAAAAATTATAATATTGATTTGAGAAGACAATTTTGACTTCATGAATAATTTTAGCCGATTTGGTTAAATCCTACTACCCCAAAAGAACATTTGATAGCATATGACGCCACTATGTGTGTACCAGATACGGCAGGCTATGAAGCTAGACAATTAATGAACAAAGCTTATAAAACTGCTCTGGCCATTCCTCAACAACAGCAGCTTCTAGGTGAACTTGAAAAGGAACCTAAACTTGTGTACCACATTGGATTGACACCTTCCAAGGTAAATAAATGTCAACTTCGTTATAGTGTTATGTGTGTTATGGAATGTTTAGCAGTACTGCTATTTTAGTTGCCTGAATTGGTGGAGAATAATCCCCTAATTGCAATTGAAGTTCTCTTGAAGTTAATGCAATCCAAGCAAATAACGGAGTATTTTAGTGTATTGGTCAATATGGAGATGTCACTTCATTCAATGGAAGTTGTAAATAGGTTGACCACCACTGTGGACCTACCAACTGAATTCGTTCATCTCTATATTTCCAATTGCATATCTACTTGTGAAACCATCAAAGACAGATACATGCAAAACAGGTTGGTGCGGCTGGTATGTGTTTTCCTGCAGTCTTTGATCAGGAACAAAATCATCAATGTTCAGGTATATCACCGTTGAGTTAAAAATAGCTATTACATTTTTTTGATATGTTTGAAATTGTAAAGCAAGGCTTTATTAGTGTTTCCAAATACATTTAAAATGTTCATATGTCAGGTTTATCTCAATGTTTAAGAGATCGTTCACAGCATAGAAAGAGTTTCTAATTAGGTTTATGCCGTACCTAGATTTCTGCAGTCTGATAAATTTAGGGTTTATATCTTCATTAACACAGGTATTGTAGGAGTCAAGTTATTATGTGTTGCATAATTCCTAGATCTTCATTTATATGAACTAAGTAATCCATTATATATCTGCGTGTTATTGTTAATTCTCCCAGTTTATTAAAGTGTTCTTTTACTCCCAAAAAACAATCACATAAAAAATATCTACGTTGGGTGGTCAATTATTTTTTTTGTGAATAGGATACTGTTTATTGAAATTGAAAAAAAGAAGTTAGATGATCTAACGATTCAAGATGTCAAAGATTTTTAAAATATTATAAGACTAGAACAGTTTTGGTTAGATTTGAAATATTTATGACAAAATTATTTTTGATTTTTGAAACAGCTGTTTTCCTAAAACAACTTATATATAATTTTTAAATTTTATAAATTTGTTCTTTTTCTATTAAAACTGATTATAACTTCCAGTTTGTTAAAGTGTTCTTATACTTCTAAAAAAAAAATTATATACAAAATATTTACTTTGGGTGGTCAATTTTTTGCTTGTAAATAGGATACTGTTTATTAAAGCGACACATGCATATTTAGCATGTTTCACAATTGCCGTGTTTCACAATCGCTAAAATTTCATTAAAAGCTAATCTGTGTATAGTATAACTTTTATACATTATCTCATTATTGTTTAACATATGGAACTTAAATACACAAAACGAGGGTAGTACACCTTGGAGTTATGTCAAAACAGTAGATACAGTTTTATTCTTCACAACCTTCGTATTGAAAAAAAGGAGTTAGATGTCCTAAGGATTCAAGATGCCAAAGAATTTTAAAATAATATGATACTATAACAGTTTTGGTTAGTTGAAATGTTTATGACCAAATTAATTAGGATTTTTGAAACACCCATTTTCCTAAAACAACTATATAATTTTTAAATTTTATTCATATGTCCTTTTTATATCAAATTCGATTCAAACTACCAGTTTGTTAAAGTGTAAATATCTACTTTGGGTGGTCAATTTTTTCTTTGTAAGTAGAATACCGTTTATTAAAGGGACACATGGTTATTCAGCATCTTTCAAAATCTCCATTGTTAAAATTTCATTAAAAGCTAATTAATCTGTGCATAGTATAAATTTTGTATTTGATCTCATTGTTGGTTGACATATGAAACTTAAATGCTCAAAATAGGGACCGAGGATGGCTTGGTTGGTGCTGCCAACTGCCAACTCGAATTGCCGGAGGTTATGGGTTTGATTCCCACCTGGAGCCTTGGGCGTTGTGTGCGTGAAAAATTGTTATCGGTCAATTTTCCTCAGCGGATGCCGGAAAATGGGTGAATATCCTAATTTGAGATGAGCTCAATTAAGTGTATATAAAAAAATGGACAAAACGAAGAAAGTACATATTTTGCATTTGTATAGTTTAAAGTTTTAAAACTACTAGTTTAGATTGAAAAAAAAGTGGGTTAGATTATATAATGATTCAAGATGCCAAAGATTTTTCAAATTATATGAGACTGAAATAATTTTAAATTTCAAATATGACCAAATTAAAGAGAATTTATAAAACACTTGTAATTTTTGAAACAACTTTATAATTTTTAAGTTATATACATATGTTTCTTTCATTGTTTTGCAGGAACTTTTTATAGAGGTTCAAGCATTTTGCATAGAATTTAGTAGGATCCGAGAAGCTGCGGCCTTATTTAGGTTACTGAAGCAGTTGGAATCGGGCGACCCCGCCCTTCTTTCGTCGCCGACCACTGGGAATAAAAACATTATCGACAAAAATTCTTGAAATTCCAAATATGTTATTGTATTGTTAAATATATATATTTTACACAATCTGTGTTAGTGCATAGTTCCCGATTTCATTTTTACTTTTTTGTTTTAAAGTATGGTTTCTAATTTTGTTGAAATTAAATTTTCAATTTATTTATGACCTTGGTTGTAACAAATGTTTTGTTTCATGTGTTTTTGGCTCATGTTAGTTGTTGAATGACAATTATGGGATACAATTTGTATTAGTTAGCCTTACTATAATTGACACTTATTTTCGTCGATTCCCACAGAATAGTTTTGGTACATTCATGGTAATGAATCATACAATATTATATTAATAATAGAGTGTTTTAGGTGAAAAAGAAATTCCGTATTTAAATTCCTATCTGTAGCAAATACTATTTGGTTACTGAATATAATTAAAAACCTGAACAGAACATTCCGATTTTTTCTTTAAAAAATTATTTAAAGAAAGCTTCCTTTCCCATTTCCTCAACTGAACGGTTTCTCGCTAGATGGCAGACTGGGTGGTACATATTGCTTGTTTTATATTTTAAGGAACAATGTAGAACATTTAGAGATATCAAGATGGTTAATATAAATTTATAATAATAATAATTATTAAAACACAACAAAAAGAATATACCACAATAGAGTTGAACAGGTGGCGAGTTCTAGCAGTGCTACTCCACCTAACCGCCGATACAGTGTAGTAGAATATTCATAATTTAACAAGAAAAAAACAACAAATATGAAGAAGTCCCTTAAGTCCACCTCAGTTCACAATATAACAATTTTACACAAATCAAAGGGGAATAAATGTAAAGACAAGAAAGAAAGAAAAAAATAGACACTGGAAAAAAGCAAAGACAATATTCAAAAACGACGATAAGAAAAAATAAATAAAAAATTAATGGGTTCAGAATCTTTTCAATCTCATGCTGCAATTTTTGTAAGCTATATTGGTGTTTCCGTAGTAAAACCGGCCAGTATAGAACGTCAGCATATCCCAATAGGGAGAGAATAAGAGAGTCACACAATTTAAATGTAATCTCAGTAGATAAGTAGTCTTTATACATGTAAAGTACTTTCAGTTTACCATAGGACTTCTGCATTGAATAAGACAAGCGAGAATCACGAAGCAAAGAGTCATTAGTTTTTTACATTTGTCGACAAAATCAAGCGGAGTACCACTCAAGGAGAGTTTCAAATTATTGTACTCAACAATTATTGCCAAAAAGAACAACCTAGGTCCTGGAATCATTTAATTTAACACCATGAGCTTTAGGGATTCTAGAAACCAGTTCGAGATCTTCATTTGTGCCATTGAAAGGCAAAGCTACATCTTTGATCGAGAATGATAAATATATTTGTATATCATCACCATACTGATGAGAATAACATTTATTTAGGTATTTAGAGAAGTCAGAGGCAATGAATGCTGCCTTGCGGAACTCCCCTTAATATTGCTAGAAAGTCAAACACCGCTAATCCCAACGTAACCCTCTGCCGGCGACCTCTCAAGCAACTTTTCATAAAAGTATAGAGGTGTCGGTTAAACCGAAGAACTTTAAGTGAAATTAAGCAGTGCTGTGGTCGTACTGTAATATTCGAATCGGCAACATGGTAATTAAGTTGATCATATACAATATACAAACACTGAGTAAGCTAATAGGGCGAACATGTTTGCTGACATATATGCCTTTACATTGAGATCTGAAATAAATGGTTATTCGCGATCTACAGAACGAAATACTGCGACTAATAAAAGGTTTTCAAAAAATTTCAGCTATAGAAAATTATATTTTCCTTAAAGTCCTTCATTGTCAAAGTATGTTTTTAAAGTGAACTTGTAGTATTTTAGGATTCTACGATTAAAACAAGTTTTTTAGAAAATCATTTGAAATTCTAAATCTAATCTAATTTCAAAGGTGCGGAAAGCGACGCCTAAAGACATTAGTTTTGGTAGTTCGTTACCCCCATCATTAGCAACGGATATTTCCGGTATTTTAGTCCCTGGTTTGGAAGCCATCGGATATTTTCTGTACATTTTAGTGATGGCATTTTGATGTTTGTTAATTCTGACGGTCACCTCACCAACCTGTCGGTGAGTGTGTTTTGCAAAAATGTACCATAACTAATGGTGGTAGAAACCGTTACCAGACCAAGAAAATGGTTGACTTTGGTCGGACAACGTTTACTGAGTATAGCGAAGTTGCACTGTATAAGCGGTACTGTAATACCCCATGTTAAATTTAGGGTAAGTTAAAATGGTCTGAAAAATCTAATAATTTATCATATTTTGCTATTTCTGGTAAGCAGTTGATTTTTGACGTGTTTTTTAAATTGGGAAATTGAAGTTACTGTAAACGCGTAGTCTAAAATGCTTCGTTGCAGTTTTTTTTTCAGGTCATTGATATTTGTTGTGATTTTGATCTTTTAATTAATATTTAGTGTTGGTCAGTTGAATTTCGTTAAAAAATAATTTATGTTGGAAAAAAAAGGATGTTTTGCATGTAAACATGATTGAGGACTTTTTTTTGCAAAAATGTAAGATACGCTGGTACGAAAAGTCTTTGAAATTGAGAAAAAGACATCTAGCAGTGAACAAGTAAAATCTGAATTAAAGCAAATTTTAAGAAAACCGCCAGTACTAAGTCTCATGAAGAAATCGCCAATTTATGCAAAAGAATCAAAAATATCTAAAAATTAAATTGTGACTCCTTCTATCTCGAAGCAAAGAAAATTTTAAATAATAGAAAATCCTTTTTGTTTTTATATTTTTCAATAGAACAAATGATATTTAAAGGACGGCTACATTTTGGCAGATAAAACAGTTAAATTGCATCTCCGGTTTTACTGGAATTAATCTATGTTTTTCTATTTTTGTATCCTATGCGTAAATTCAAGTCGGAAATGTTCTTCGGAATAACCTTTTTTGTGTTCGATGGAAAAAAATTATTAGCACATGTATGGCTTTTTTCGAGAGTTCTGATAATTTACGAGAAAATGCTGTTCAAAAATGATATGTCATTTTTTCCAGTCAATCTAAATAACAAGAAATATATTTTTACAAAATTTTGTTTGTTGTTATTTTATACAAAACCATGTAATAAATGTAAGAAAACCTTCGCTTTTACTGGAAATACACGTTGAACTTCGTAAAGTTATATTCATCGGAAAAAGAGAATTGAACTTTTGAAAATAGGAATGATAGCCCATTTAAAAAATTAAAAAATATTTCTGACATGGATTTACCGATAGAATACAAAAACAACAAAACATACAGAATAATTCCAGTAAAACCGGAAATGCTATTCAATTGTTTTATATGTTGAAATGTAGCTATCCCTTATTTATAGAACATCTCTAAATTTCAAATTTATTCATTTTTTTTTATATACGCTTGGCTAGTAATTTCATTGACACAAATTATATTATTATAATTTGACAGATAATTTAGTGCAACATGATTTTTTTTGTTACTTCAGATTGAATGAAAAATGAAAAATATGAAAATAAAAAAGAATTTGCTGTTATTTAAAAATTTCTTTGCTTTTAAAAAACACACTACTGCGAGGTTTGCAAGTTGTCTCTGAGCCTATCGCAGTTCAATTATATTGTGCGAAAATTGTGACCACAGTAATAACTATTAGTATAGCGGTGACTTAAGTACAGGGTCATTTGATAGTTGCGGTTGTTTAGTTAAATTGGTCTTTTCTTAATTACGAATCTTAATACGTCAGTGTATTATATTTTTGTTAAAGAAAAATTCCTCATTCATGTTTATTTTTTCTGTGTTCAAAATATTTTGGTTTGAAGTGTTTTAAAAAAAAGTGAAAATATAGTTATTGTTTGATTAGTAATTTCATTGACACCAGGAATAATATTCCGGGTGATGCATTGCCGAACGGAATATAGAAAATCTCATGTACATTTTTATTTAAGTGCTAAAATATTGACTCCCTTTTTTTGGAGGGGCCGGTATGATTAACTCATGTGTCGAGTTTGAAGAAATGTTAACAAGTCAATCTTCAGTTATTAAATATGACCAGCAAGTAATGAATTTAATTTAAAGGCTGTTTAAGCAACAAGAAATCTTCAAGAAACGAGTATAAATACTTAAAAAATACTTAAAAAAAACATTGCTAAAAAGGAAGATTATTTAAAATAAACTTTATTTTATAAGTAAAGTTATTGTAAATGATATTGTGAAGTCCTGTTATATTCTAAGCGTTTGTTAGCGTGTGCAAGGTTTTTGCCACTTGCTAATATTGTCTGATTTGATATTTTTATAGATAAGACTATTCAAGTAAACCCACAGAAAGCAGTCGTTCGGCCCTAGGTCATCCTGTCATATTCTAATCGTTTGTTAGCGTTTGCTAGCGTTTTGTCAGTGGTTAACACTGTCAAATTTGACATTTTTATAGATAACACTATTCAAGTGACCCCACAAAAAGATGTCGTTTGGCGCGAGGTCAGGTGACCTAGGTGATCAAAGGATGGACCTTGGGCCAATAATATTCCCTTTAACAGTATTTCTAAAATACTCCCTAACCATAAGGGAATTGTGGGCGGGACAACCAACCAACTGATACCAGATCTACTGATCTTCGCAAACAACTTCTGTAGTACAGGGTTCAATTTGATTTTATTAATAAGTCCAAATAGGTTTCTCTTGTGAGGTTATAGTCTATAAAAAAATGGTCCAATAATTTGAGGATATTAGGTTCCTGTCTTTGCTCCAATAAAAACAGTTTTGAACATTGTTGTTGAGTTGAGTGTGAACATTCATCATCAACAAATATTTTTAAAAAAATCTCTATCAGTATTTGGTTTTTCCGTCATTTCAAAACAAAATGCTCTTCTTTCTTTATCGCCTTCCTCGTACTCTTGTCTTTGTATAAAAAATATTTGTGATTTTTTAATGTGCGCAATACTGATTTGATATTTATTTACAACCTGTCCAAGAATCCTCGTACTAATAATTTTGTTTTCCTCCACATGCAGTCAAATGTTCAAATCTCTATTGTCCCTTTCTTCTGCTATAACATTTGCAGTCATTTATTTATTACTGTGCCTTTGGACTTGAATTGGGTAATAATACATTTAATTGTTGAAATCGAAGATATAGTTTTAGCAGGAAAATCAAGTGAAAACATTTCAGACCATGCTCTAATACTTTTTTTTCTTCAAAGAAACTTCCAGAGGCTACTGTAATGCTTTTTACAAAACTTCTGGATTCCTCCTGCATCGGTTTTTGCTTAGTCTAAATTGCTGACGTTTCGTCAATCATCCACCCATCCATCATTGACTTCTTCAGTTTCAGTGAAGCTCTGAAGAAGCCAACAGGATGATTGGCGAAACGTCAGCAATTTCGACTAAGCAAAAACCGACGCAGGAGGAATCATGCATAATCCCACT